CATCACTGGGGTGGGAGAATGGGCGAAGAAGGCTTTAAGATATCCTTTTGCAATGTCCCGATCCTGGACCTAACTAGGGGCTCCTCCAGTCCCTGATGTAATTTAGAGCAGCATATAGGCTGCTCTAAATAACATTCAGCTGCTTGCAGCCTCAAAGGTTTGTTATCAGCCAGGATTTTTTCTTCCAGCAATTAACTCTTTTTTTTTTCTGGGAACATCTCCCACATCAGGGAGTAGCATTGAGCTGCTATGCCTCTTATACAAGGAAGCTGGTTAAGATGGGTGTCTGGCTACGTTGTGTCACTAGAGTGATACACAACAGGTAGAACACATTTGAGAATTGGGCCTATATAATTATTTCAGTAAATACAGGCAAAACTATATTTCAGAAAAAATAGTCATGCAACGTTTAGCAATTGAAAGTAAAGGTCATATATTCTAACACTTTGGTAGTGTTTGTAATCCTAGGTCCTCATTTATTGTACAACTGGAAAACAATCATATTTTAAGAATTTGAAATGAATGTGATTGATTAATCAATTAACCTCTCATTATTTCAGTTGCTTATATCAGATGCATTATTTATATACTCTGATGTAATCATTTTACCAAAGGAAAGGTGGAAAAAAAAAAACAAAGACAAAAAAGCTAGTTGGATTTAAAAATCACAGGCATAACAAAACAAATAATTGCAGAATTAAAGGTAATATTTTATGCACTACTGTGTTTACATTTGGAGTCTGATTAGCATCATGATATTAATTTGGAGGGTAATGGATGCATATTACTTCAGACACTGTCACCCTGGAATCTGATTACAGAAGGCAGAAGCTGACTGGGAGATGAAAGGATTATTATGGTTTCAAATTAATATTGTTCTAAAAGGAAAAATTGGATGTCTACAATGTTTTAGAAAGGTTTGCATTACCAATGAGGTTGTTATTTTGCATTTTGGACCAATAAAAATGCTATTTCCTGGTCACTGTATATGAAACTGTGTCTGCATATCAAAGCACATTCCATTAGCTTTCTGAATAAAAGGAGGCAGATTTTTCTCCACCTTTTCAAATACCTTTGCTCTACCTGAGTGATGCACAGGGACTCGAATCTGGCCACAGCTGCCTAGGTGAAAATTCCCCTGAGAAGTTCTGAGTGGGTGTGAAATCAGCACAAGCAGCTACTATTTTACACCCCACCCTACACACACCCTGTTGAGATGCAGCGGTTCCCAAACTGTTGGTTGCAATTCCAAATGGTTTTGTGCCATCAGTAGATGGGGTCGCAGGTCCAAAGGACCAGATTCGGACCACGAGATGATGCCATCTGCCCCTGAACGTGTCCGGACCTGCTCCTCAAACCTTGCACTAGGAGGTTGCCATTTTGTACATCTAAATGGCAGCCTCCTCATGGCGTGACCTTGCATGTGTGGTGAATGCATTTTGTAAAATGGCAGCCTCCTGGTGTGGTGTTTGTACAACAGGTCTCGACACATGAGCTGTGAAGAGGTGGCTGTGCGGATGCCATTTGCCCCATCTGGCTGTGCAAGCATTCAGCTGAGAGACTTGAATCCAGAAGATGCTTCTCTGTGGGCAGCAGCCTTCTCAACAGAGCATCCTCTCTGCTTGAGTGGGTAGGAACCTGTGCTAGCTTTTTCTGAGAGGGAATCTGAAGTGGCTTATGAACTCCTTAAGACAGGGCCCATATTTTTTTATGCCACCCTGAGTACCCTTATGGCACTCAAGCATAAAGGATCATTGTAAGTCACTGTCTCTGTGCTGCAGTAGTATCAGCTCACAGGGCCTTCCTATGTCCTGGCCTCATCTGCTTAACTATGAATTCCTCTTTCTAACTTGTGAGATGAGGCACAATTGACTCATGTTTGCGCAGGGTATCTGCTTCATCCTCCAGCAGTGAGTCTAGTAATGCAGTTATGTGCAAAAACCAAGCATGCAAGAAATGTGCGGGCAAATATGGTGAGGCTTGTGTATGGCTTCACCAATGTTTTTGTCAAGAATGAAGAAAGGACAAAATGCCTGCTATGTCGCATAGTGTTAGCTAGAAAAAGCTTGAAGCCTATTAAACTTAAATGATCTTTGTAAGCCCTTCACAGGGAATACGTAGGAAAACCAAGGTCATTTTTCCAGAGCTGGAAAGAAGAACTTTCATGTCAACAAGTGCAATTCAAGAGAGCCCTGTCCATCTCTGACCACACACAAAAGGCATCATCTGACATGAGTTACTGCCTTGTGCAGGCCAAGAAACCTTACATAATCGGAGAGATTTTGATTTTGCCAGATGAAATCAATGGTGAAGATAATGTGTGGGGAAATGGAGGCAAACAAATTCAAAGACATACTACTCTCCAACAACACAGTGAATTGAAGGATTGAGGTGATAGCAGCAGATCAGGAAAACACACTGGTGGAGAGTCTGAAAAATACAGGTGCTTTTGTTCTTCAAGTTGAGGTGAGCACTGAGGGTCCTGATGCACATTTCCTGGCTTTTGTGAAATACATGGGAGAGTGCAATCCTTGAAGACATTCTATTGTCTCCCTCTTCCTGGACACAAGACAGCACAAGGAATGTTCGATGTACTACATGGCTACAAGCAAAACAAAAATGTCCTTGGTGATCACATTGTAGGCTTTTGCACAAAGGGAACTCCGTCTATGGCAGGCCACCAGCAGGTCTGCATGCCTTGGTAAAGAAAGTTGCTCCGTCTGCTCTGTGGACTCACTACATGAATCACAGAGAACAACAGGCATAGAAAGCTCTGAGTCCAGAGCTAGTTGAATTTTTGCAGTATCATCTATTGTGAACTACATCAAGAATCAGCCTCTTTGCACGCATCTGTTTGCAAAACTGTGTGAAGACATGGGATCTGATCATGACATGTTTTTATTCCACACTGATGCTCGCTGAGGAAAAGTACTGGGATGATTTTTTGAACTGAGAGACGAGCTGTGTGCTTATACAATGGACTGCAAAAAGAGTGAATTTGTTGATTTTCTAGGTGACCAAAGGAAGATGTGCCCTCCTGGCTAAGTCACAGACATATTTAGGAAACTGAATGAAGTGCATACAGGTCTGCAAGGAAAGAACACCCACATTCTTCAGCTGAGTGATTGACTCACAGGATTAATGAAGAAAATTTTTTTCTGGAAGAATAATCTATTAGAGACAAATTAGGAATCCTTCCCACAGCTTTCTAATTTCCTGGCTGTCAATGAAATTATTGAGCCTCCCACACAGGTGATGGCTGAGCAGCTCAGCCAGATGGAGGAACAGTTTGCATCCTTTTCCCTCAACTTGGACATGACAACGTATGATTGGGTGTGAAACTACTTTCAGTGCAAGCCCGATACCATGGATTTGCCAGCAGCTGAAATCGAACAGCCCATCAAAATGTCCCCTGATCAATTCTTGCGAGTAACATATGCCCAACTTTCTCTCCCGGAATTCTGGTTCACTGTGAAGAATGATAATCTTGCACTCTCAGCATGCACCTTGAAACTGATAGTGACATTCACGAGCACATAATTGTGTGGAGCTGGATTCAGCGCACTTGTGTTCATCAACTCTCAGTATCTATCTACCATTGATGTCAAATTGGAGATTACATATGCAATTTCTACCACATCACCGGACTTTGAGAAGCTGTGTCACAACGTGCAAGCCCATGTGTCATATTAGCGAGCATTAAATATATTTAATGTGCAATCTTCTTGGATTCCTTGGTCACTATGTTGCTTTGTTGTGATCTGGGGTCACAGGAAACAGTAAGTCTGAAAATGGGGTCATGCAGTCAAAAAGTTTAGAAACACCTAATGTGATAGAAGAGGGAGATGGCAGGTCAGGTGTGTAGGGGCTCTGTTCTACTCTGCCAATTATCAACTGGGCATATAGACACTGATGATCCATCGCCAACTGACATAAATTAGAGAAGCTCCTAGGTCTGCTCTAAACTTATGCCACGACTGCAACCAGAACAGCTGTGACTTGAGAACAGGGAGCTATAATCAGCTCCTTTATGGATGCTCACTTTCTTCTTAGCCTACTGGATCTTGGCACAGGAGAGACTCTGGCCCTGTAGTTATTGGATAGTTGGTGGAAATAAACTTGAAATATAATGATGATAATGAATAATATAAATTAGAAAGTTATCTTGACTCAGAGGTGATTAGAGCTGTGGGAAAGTGCTGACACCTTTTTCTTGAAATTTAATTTGAATATATCTTTCTTTCATTCGAGACCATTTTGAAACCAGAATATTTAATTTTTACAAGGAATGTCCATGAAATTGTGAATTCATATGGAAAACAGGCAATATTCAACTATTCATGTTTTTGAAACAAATGGATGTTTCTCTGGAAGAAAGTACAAATGTTAATAATGTCATATTTCTTATTAAAAAAACAGGACAATGGGGAGCAAAATGGACAAATTTTACCCAACAATGCTTCTATTATTTAGCCAAAATTTACATTAAATTTCAGTTTATTGATTAAATTGGACTAAAAGCATTCAAAAATGATAAATTTTGCTTTTTAATGTTTTTTAAGCTTTTATTTGAATGTTTCATGCAATTCTGATATGAGGTTGCATATTATTTATTAGACAACCTTAGTAATAAAAAGCTTCAGTAGAAAAAAATATGCAAAGACTATATCTAACATAAAATACATTTTTGTACAAATATCCACACCTAATAATAATAATGCTTGGCATTTTTATAGTACCTTACATCCAAACATCTCAAAATGCTTTACTTATCCTGATGAATTAAGCCATCCAACATCCCATGGCATAGATAAAGAATATTAAAACCATTTTACAGATGGCAAAACTAACAGGTTAGCAAAGTGATTCACTGAGTCATTCTAGTAGTTTATCAATCCAAGAAACTTTCAAATATAGAAGCAAGTCAAAAAGTATAACCTTAGTTACTTAATATATTTGTTTATAAATATTAGCTAACAATCATCAAATAGAATGATTACCTTTGAAAATGCAACAATTTTCAAAGCAATTGTTGCCAAGTATAAGGAGTTCATTACGAAATCCATTAGGTTCCACCAGTCATGAATGTAATCCTGTAGTCCACCATCCCACATCTGTTTAATTTCACCCCATATGAAACCTGTAAATATAAAAGAATTCATTCTAAGCATGGTTTTCAGAAGACTTTTATACAGATCAGTCATTTTAGATTTCATTTTCTGATTCATGTTTCCAAAATGCATTCACTAAGCAAGAGAGAACTGACATCATTCATCTAAGCATACAGCTTCATTTTCTTTTGCTTTCCTTCTATTACTTTTTCATTACATTCTAAGGAGTGTATAAAAAGTAGTCTAACATAGCAACTATTGCCATATTTTGTCCTTAGCTGTGTGTTCCAATGGAAACTGCATAACTGAAGAAACTGACCATTACCTTATTTCAATAGAAATTTATGCTATCATAGGGTATAGAGATTTCAACTTTGTTATCCACAATGGTAGGTAACAAATCTCCTATATCTCTTAAATCCTTAGTGTCATCAGCAAACTATTTCTAGCTGAAATATTAAAAACCATAGTACATTCATTTTAAACCTGATGGACTGGGAACAGTTTTCAGGTGTACTCCCACATATCGCTTTTGACATAGCGATACAGAAATATTTAAAGCCTCTGGGAAATTTTGCATGAGGTCTGATGTGAGCTCAACTGAACAGCTCCAAAGAAAGGCATGTGGAGACACTTTAAAGCTATAATCATTAGAGGCCTCCCTCGGGAGAATGTGCTGAATTAATGCTTGCATATTATGAGGATGTATGGATGCATACATTTAAAATGTACATTTTACATAAATATGTACAGTCTTTTGGTTAAATATACCAGTTGAAGTTTCACATTTTTCAGTTTTACTTTCTTCTCTAAGTGAATTTAAATGTTCAATAAAGGTGCCAGGCTGACAGCAATGGAGAGTGAAATCTATTTACACTTGGGGGAAATACCAATATGTTATTTATCACCTTTTCCTTAGTCATCTCTTTCAGCAACATTAGGCAGAGGCCTAACGAGCCTTGTATCAATAAACTCTATAATTAGGAATTGCCTTTCAGTCATAATCAATATTTTCACCAAAGGTGGCTACATGGAGGAGACTTCAGACTCAACTCCAAGGAGGCATTGCCTCTTTTGCCTTCATTGGTGCCAAAGATAGTTTTGTTATGTTTTTTCCTGACATCAGAAAATAAGGGGCCTGATAACCCTAGGAAGCATCACTCTCCCACTCAGTCATCCTCTCTTCAAAGGATTGAGTGGGAGAGGTGCTAACCTCACCAAGAGTCCCTGAATTTGGCTTGTTGTTGGGAAATTTAACCAAATTTAAGGATAGGGACAATTGTGTAAATGGAAAGACCCCAGCACAAGGAGGCCTTAGAGATTCATGGGTATATCCACCTAAATAAATTCTTCTCCAATTCATCTCAGTTAAGCATTCCACTTAGTATACTGCTTGAGGACAATGCAGAATGGCACTGGGATGATTAGTAAGACAAAAGTTTACGGGAACTAAAATAAAGTGGTCATGGAAGCATCATTGCTGAAATAATTTGACATTACAAACAGCCTAAGATCTGAGTTGACGCAACCTCACAAAGGCTGGGGGCTGTTTTTCTGGCAGACAATAACTTAATGACAAATGCTTTCAAAGCATTATCTAAACTACAACAGAACTATGTCCAGACTGTTCATAAAAAAAATTAAAAATAGCTAGCATTTTCTTCAGTTTTATGAGTTTATGGGCAGAAAGCAGCCATATTACAGAAACCATTGTTCTAAGCACTGCCTAGGTTTCAGAAAATGATCATGAAATTGCAAATAGTCTCTTTAATTGTGAAATGCAGGTCTCATAACAGCATTCTTAGGGCAGAAATGCTTTCAAGAGGGCCTATAAAGAGCTTGGCTTTTAAACTCTTGTCTGCCATCTTTATGATGCTGGAGCATAAAGATAGAAAGCTGAAAGAGGTCGGGCACCGCAAATATATGCTGAAATGATGAACACGCATTAGATGAAACATTTGTCTAAGTGGATTGCAAGCCAGGAAAGGAACACTACAAGCTGTATGCAATTCAATAGAAGACAGCAGATATAGTGGAGACCCAAAGCTAGGCTGCTTACCACTATAACAGAAAACTGGTGAATGGGACTGTGTCTTGAATCCAACTTGAGAATTATAATGTATAAAACCAGAGCTGGTCAATATTGGAAAAAATTTTAAAAAGTTTTTTGACAAAAAAAATAATTAAAAACTGAAAAAAGAATTTTTTTCTAAAAACACTATTTTGTTGTTTTGGTGGGAAAAATCAGATTTTTGTAAAAAAATTCAGGTTTAGAAAAATTGGGGATTTTGTTGTCTGAAATTAAAAAAATTCACCAAAAAAGCTCCAAAATGTTTACTGAAACACTTAAAACAATTCCGTTTCCAGAAAATCAAAATATGTTTTGTTTTCATTTTTCATTGAAAAACTGAAAAAAAATATTCAAAGGAAAAAAAAAAATTCCTAAGAAAGTTTTCATCTTCGAAAGGCCATTTTTCCACTGAACAACTGTTTAAAAAAAAAAATCAAATAGCTCTTTAAAAAACTAGATTCAACTTAATTTTAAGAGAGGACATTTGGTTATTTTGATACTTGTTTTTAAAATAAAATTAAAAAATACTGGTATCAGTTTTTATCTACCAAATACAAACAGCACAGGCATTAGCAATACAGGTTTCCTTGCACTGCCTCGCCAATGTGACTCTACTGGGGAAAGGGTAGTTCAGTCTCTGGTGAGAGTGCCAATTAATTAGGGTATCAAATGTTGCAATGTTTTGGGTGATGAAGATATCCATCCACTAAGATTTGGGTTGAGACCAAAATCTCCTTTCACATAAACTCCCAAACACCTGTCAGATTATAAAAAATTTTGGTCACTGATGATTAATCCCATTATCAATAAAAAGCAACAGAGGGTCCTGTGGCACCTTTACGACTAACAGAAGTATTGGGAGCATAAGCTTTCGTGGGTAAGAACCTCACAACTTCAGATGTTAGTCTTAAAGGTGCCACAGGACCCTCTGTTGCTTTTTACAGATTCAGACTAACACGGCTACCCCTCTGATACTTGACCCCATTATCAATGAATCTCCTAAGTCATTCACCATAAATTTTACTTTTAAACAACACTTTTCCCCCCATTTCCCATTAAAACAATTAATCAATTACAAAGTGATGATATATAAATTGACAAAAATAATCAGATGCATCTTGGTTAAATCCCCTTCTAGAAAGCAAATCCAGAATGATTATAAAATAAAACTGATTCTCAAGTGTCTGTGGAGAGATGAAAATGTTATCCTGTCTCCACAACACAAACATTTGGAAAACTGCCTTCTGTTGTTTATAAGTATATTCCAGGATTCTCAAAGTCATGGCTAATGCCTCATTGTAATGTAATGTCAGGACTGGTGGAAAAAAGCAAGAGAAACAATATTTTGAACTAGTAAAAGTACTTCTGGTTTTAAAAAAATATCTGTGGATCCCATTCAGATGCTGGTTCTCACCTTTCCCACAATTGGCCAGCCACTCTGTTGCTATATTGCTTTGCACAACATCAACTAATGAGAAATAAGATGCAAGATTTGCAACAGTGAATCTCTGACATGCCAAGTTCAACTACTGCCTTCATTAGTTGGTCGGGGTAGAGGAGCGTTTACCGTACCCCATTGTGTTAGGTACAGACTGGGGCCCTCCCCCTGGAGGGAGAAGGAAAGGTTCCCAGAAGAAGGGGATGGGGACCCCTAGACTGAAAAACCTCGGGGAGGAAGAGGAGCCAGGTCCTTGGTGTAATGAACATGAGAACCCTAGGCATCAGAGCCCGGATAGGGTAGACAGAAGGAAGGAGATGCGGGGAGAAGGCCAGTCCAAGCCCCTTAGAGGGAGGAGAGGGACAACTGGAGCTCCCCACAACACAGCTCCCAGGAGAAGAAACGGGGACCCTGCTTGGTGGTTTGGGGGAACCTGAGGCCTGGGGTTTCCAGCAGGAGGCTCGACTCCCTACCGGAAGAAAAGGGGATAAAGGAGAAGGGATGCCTGCTGGGGTGCGATTGGTGTGAGGAACTGTGGGTGGTGGCAGAGCTATGGGGACATCCACCCCTGGACCAATCTACTTTTTTGCGGGTGGGGGATGAAGGAGCCTCCAGGAGATGACGCCGGTGATTGCCCGAAAGAGGGGGAGAGGCTTCCCCGGATGAACCCCACCAGACAGGGGTGGAGAGGCTGAGGAAGGACAAACCTGGTGGTTCATAAGGGGGGAGGTGTGTGACAGGGTGCTGGCTAGAAAACCCTGAGCCAGACCTTGGTCACACCAACTCCAATCAGGAAAGGGGAACTTGAGCTGGCTGAGTAAGCCTAGGCCTAAGTGGCAAACGGGGAACAGCTGCCGACCTTGTTATCCAGGGGCTACATAGAGGCTGTCAGGAAGGAAGCCACGGGAGAGGAAAGGGAGGAGTCAGGGAGTTAGAGGCTGCTCTCCCCTGCTGGCTGCAGAAGCTAGAAGTCCCTGAGGCTGTTTGCCTGACACTGTCTGTAGCTACAAATGGTGGGAACTTGTACTCTAAATAAAGAGCATAGGTGATTGCACCAAAGCAGAGGTCTCTGGCTGATTTGTGGGTGCAGAAGTGGCAGAAGATAAAGGGGCACACTTGTGCCCGTTACAAGGGGATCGTCTCTTAAATAATTACATAAATAAAATAAGAATAAGAATCCTGCCATTTTCTGTACTCCGGCACTTCCCAAAACCGCGTATCTATATAGTAGTTACATTAAAAATACATTGAAAGTCCTTTGCCCAAATGTTACTATCAAACACATATGCATTGTTGTTGATAACTATAGTGGTAGCTGTAATGAGATGTAACTTAGTACATCTATCTTACTTTAATTATGTTCCATTTTTTTCCTCTCATTTTGTCATGCCACTGCAGTTCAAGGCTCTGGCAAAGAAATAATACATGATATGATGGTTTCACAGTTTTTCTGACAGACCGGAAGCAATAATACTGAATATCTTGTGAAATTTCAGCTCAATCTGGTATGGCTAAATGTTCTAGGAACTTTTGGGTTTGTCTGAAATGAACAGCCAAACCTTTTCAGGTTTACCCATCTTGGGATCCTGTGAACTAGGAGGTGCCTCTG